AGCAACTTAGAACTGAGGAGAAATTTCCTGACAGTGAGAACAATTAATCAGTGGAACAGAAATTGCCTCCAGAAGTTGTTAATTCTTCCCCAACACTGGAAGTCTTTAAGAAGATGTTGGATAGCCATTTCTCTAAAACGGTATAGGGCAGCGATGACGAACCTTTTTTGGCTTGCATGCCATAAGGGGGGGGGAGCGCAGGGCATGCCACACCCTTAATGCAATGCGTGACACACACACCCCCCCAGTGCGCATGTGGACATGAGAGGTGCCCCCCCCCATTTTTTGCAGGGTTTTTCGCCCTCCCCAGGCTCCATAGGCTTTATAGGAGCCTGGGGAGGGCGAAAACAGCCTTCCTTGCCCCCCCCAGGCCCTCCGGAGGCTTCAGGGGCCTTCAGGAGGCTTTCCTGAAGCCTCCCGAGGACTAAAAAGGACCTTACGAGCAAACCGGAAGTCACTTCTGGTTTGCTCGTAGCGCCGGTTTTGGCATGCTGGCCAGCTGACAGGGCAACACCTCGCATGCCCTGACAAATGGCTCCGCGTGCCACAGGCGCGCCATCCCGGGTATAGGATTTCCTGCCTATGCAGGGGGTTGGACTAGAAGACCTCCAAGGTCCCTTGCAACTCTGTTATAGTATTGTGTTGTTTTGTGACTGCCTCCTCCTAGGGCTGAGAGGGGGGGACACGACTGGTCTATTCACCCAGATAATGTCCCATCTAAGGCAGAACTGGACATCGTCGTCTCTTGGGTTCCAACCTAGTACCTTAAATACCATATTTTTCAGAGTATAAGACACACCTTTTCTCGCCCCTAAAAGTGTGGAAATGTTGGTGCGTCTTATACACCAAATACAGCCATTTTTGACCTCCTGAAGCTCTGCCCTGTATCCCATATTTGCGGGAAATGGCCAGTTTTTGCCTTCCCCCAGCCCCCAGAAGCACTCTGCAGGTTTCAGCAGGACTGGGGGACGGCAAAAACGCCCCCCGTTTTTGCAAAAAATGTCCATTTTTTCCCCCCAAGAATAGCATTTTTGCCTTCACAAGCCCTGCTGAAGCCTGCAGAGTGCCCCTGGGGGCCGGGGAGGACAAAAACATTTTTTTCTTACTTACCTCTTTGAAATTCTGGTGCGTCTTATACACCGCTGCATCTTATAGTCCGAAAAATATGGTAACTGCATCAAACTGGCTCTTTTTGTAGCAATGCCATTAGCTTAAGTGAAGCTGACAAAGCACGAGATTGGAGGAGGATGCTTGGGGGAAAAAGGAACTGTGCCACCTTGGCAAGCTGCTCCAAGGCCATAGGACTGGAAGGAGGAGGGAGCCGCATACCAACCTGGGCTCAGACTGACTGTTATGGAAACATCTTGCAGGAACTTGATTGGTGGTCAGCGAGAGGCAGACAGAGAGAATTTCGTGATTTTGGAGGCGAATGTTCAGTTCTCTGTTTGCCTTATTGCTTTACACTTGACCTCTCATAAAATTATACCTTTCTCAACAAATGCAGCCAAAGAACATATTTTTTTTACTTAGAAGTTTAAGCTGCGACAGGTAGGACATCGACTTTACATGGGGCTCTGTGGGAACAGAGCTTCCAGGGGAGAAGATCTGCTCATCACAGCCAAGAAGGAGAAATCATTATCTGTATCTTTTCAGAATTATTTGGGTGGGTTAAATTAAGCCTGGAAGAAAGAAGAGGGGTTGATATCCTTTGTAACATTTATGTGGAATGACAGGAGAATTCAGATAGGAAAGCATTTATTTACCTTCCTGGTAATCTAGGCGGGGCCATGATTATTGTTAATTGGAGTCGTAGGACAGGCTCCCTGCTAGGGAGAATTAAAGCAGGAATTTTCAACCATCTGCACTGGGCCCAGAGGAGTGGTGGGTTGCAGGCGGTACGCCCTGGTACGGGCATACCCGGTGCCTGCCGGGAGCACCAGGTACCGTTCCGGTACGGTGCTCCCGAGGGCTCACCCGCCCGCCCATGCTCCTTACCTGAATTTGAGCTCTTCCGCGCACAGAGCATACGGTGCCTGCGCGATGCTGTGCCGAGCAGCTGGAGCATCGCGGAGGTAAGGACGCATGCCTGTGCTGTGCGCATGCATGTAGGCGACACCGGGCCCCATTGCACCGTACCGGTTGCAACGGGATCCGGAACCCACCACTGGCCCATAGTCACCATTTCCTCCTCCTCCTCCTGGGCCTCACAGCTTGGTCTCATTTTCACCAGCACTAAGCAGAGCACTTATTTCTCTGCCCACCTGGTGAATCCCTTGCAAAAATGGCCACCTGAGAAGCCGGGGAGCTCTCACGAAACAGGCCAAATGGATGACCCCTCTCCGCTTCTGGCCAGGTGGATATATTTTGGGGGGGGGAACCTGATGATTTTGGGTGATGGGCCATATGCGGCCAAGTGAGGAAGGCAGGTCCAGTTGAGGTCCCTCTGCATCGTATCCTGCCTGTAACCACTTTGTGTTCCTGGAGGTATGTGTGTTATATGTCAAAATAGGCAGCAGGGGGGAAATACATTGTGTTAACAAATTCCACCCCATTTTATAAGTGCCTCGTCTGGCTACGACGCGCAAAAGACACACAAATGCCGATTCCATATCTCGGGATGAATTTGTTTTAATTCTGACAACTATGCCTTTGATCTTAGGTATGAAACCACTTCATACAATGGACGGCCAGCTGCTTATAATAGCAAATGCCCATATGCATTGGGACCCTGAATATTCGGATGTAAAGCTTGTCCAGACGATGATGTTTGTCTCTGAACTTAAGAATATCCTTGAGAAAGCCTCTGGTCGTCCCGGAAGCCCAACAGCAGACACAAATTCCATTCCTATGGTGCTGTGTGCAGATCTGAACTCACTGCCTGATTCAGGTGATTCGGAAGCAGCTGCCTTAACTGTGGAGTTGATCCACGCCTTTTATGTTTTTAAGAATAATTTTAATCTTTGTGCAAAACTTTAAAATATTCTTAGAAGAACCACTGTCAATGTTTAAGACGCTATGTTAATTATGATTGTTACTTGAGTGAGAGGGAACTAGAAGATCAGATATTTTAACATTTTCTAATGGTGGTGTGCCTCGTGATTTTTTTCATGAAAAAAGTGTGCCTTTGCACAAAAAAGGTTGAAAAACACTGCTTTAGGTAATAAAGAACAAGATAGATCAAGCAGTAATGGCATCTACTTTTCTTTACGTAGCAATAGCAGTTAGACTTATATACCGCTTCATAGGGCTTTCAGCCCTCTCTAAGCGGTTTACAGAGTCAGCATATCGCCCCCACAGTCTGGGTCCTCATTTCACCCACCTCGGAAGGATGGAAGGCTGAGTTAACCTTGAGCCAGTGACCGCAGATAACAGTCAACTGTAGTGGCCTTCAATACTGCACCCTAACCACTGCGCCACCTCCACTCGACTTACCTCAAGAGTTTTTAAAAAGGTGTCTCTATATGATTAAATTTGAAAAAGGGGGTTTATTAGGTAATGCAATCGTTTTGAGTAGAAGAAATGGATCTAAGCATTGGTTTTGAGATTAAAATTAATATCTAGAGAATATCTGATCAATTAATAAGCTTGTTGCAATATTTTTATTAAGAAAATGCTTAGAATAGGGAAAGGTGAGATGTATATAAGAGAGTCTGAATTTTCTTGGAGAGAGGAACATGTTAGAAAATGCATTTCTACCAAAATAATTGAAGCCTGATTGCGTGATTATTAGCCACTCCAGCTTTTGCCAAAGTATAAAAATGAGGTTTCAATTGGATACATAAAAAAAGTAATTGGAAAAAGGCAGCCTGTCATTGGACCAGGTCAGCTGTAGAGAAAATGTTGAAATGTTCCGAGTATTGAGATGCACACCCAAATTTTGTATTTATTTCTTTGGAAGTTTATTCTCTCCTGTGCAATGAACACAGGATTGCTGCTTCACCATTAAATTCTGATCTGTGTTCTTAAATCAGCGTGGCTTCACTTTTCAAAGCTAAGCTTTCTCCGACACATTTCTCAGATTGTATAGAATAGTATTTTAATATTGGCAGAGATTTTTGAAGTAGGCTGATCTGCGTGAATATGCACCAAGTCGTTGGTCAAACTAGCAATTTCTCATTTATTGTACCAGTTATTTTTATCCATAAACAAGAATGTGGCAGGACGTTAAGCAACTTTCTAATTCCAGTGCAGTAAATCCAGTTAGCGGGGTCTTCAATAACAATTGTGGCTCTAACTACTGAATAATATTTTTTTATTATTTTTGTAAATGTTCATACTTGTCTAAGGAAAAAGAAATTGTTCGCTTGCTGTTGCGCAATAAACATTGAAGAGTTACAGTGCCATTCAGTCTTACAACTGTTGGTTATTCAAACCAGGTGTTGTGGAATACTTAAGCAATGGAATAGTGGCCGACAACCACAAAGACTTCAAGGAGCTGCGTTACAACGAGTGTCTCATGAACTTCAGTGGCAATGGAAAGAATGGGGCTTCTGAAGGAAGAATCACTCATGGTTTTCAACTCAAGAGCGCCTATGAAAACAACTTGATGCCTTATACTAATTACACTTTTGATTTCAAGGTAAGTGCGGTTTGATTTTAAATAAAAAAATAGTCCCAAAAGAACTGTAAAACCCGCACCATCCAAGGTAGTTTGTGAACTCCCAGGTGGAAAAAGGATGACTGTCCATAAATCTGTCCAGGTAGTCCCCCTTTGCCACCGTATTTAAAAGGAGATGTAAATTCTGGATCAGGACACATGTTCAGTCTGATGTTTTTGTAAGTTAATGCTCCATAGTGGAATCCCATTTTTAACAGTTGAAAGGTTGCTTCGTTGTTGCAAGTTCTTTTTTTCACATTAAGCTAAATCTAAATCTCCAATGACCAAATGCTGTGGGATTCTGATTGGCTAGCCGTCTAATTCAGGGATCTCCAGATGTAACTTTTTAAGACACGTGGACTTCAACTCCCAGAATTCCCCCATCAGCATGGCTGACTGAGGGATTCTGGGAGTTGAAGTCCACGCGTCTTAAAGTTGCCATGTTTGGAGACGCCTGGTCTAATTTAACTGAAGGGAGACCATCGTATGTCTCCTCACTTAATGAACAGTTGCTTAACAACTATTCAAAGATACGACAGATCTTCCCAGAGCAACTTACTACCCGGTTGCAGAATTCCAGTGGCTGCACAAACACACCATGGTCACGTGATCATGGCTTTAATTTACAGCCATTTACAGCAGCCCACAATCCATATGACTGCGTTTTTTGGCTTTTTTTCTGCCTGTTTCCAGCATTTATTTCCAGATTCTTACAAAAATGCCCATTGAAGGAAACAGGTTCACTCAACAACTGTTGCAAAAAAAAAAAAAAGGTCATAGAATTGGGTTCATTCACAAGCCCTTAGCCTCCATGACTAATTCTAAGTTTAGTTACAATCATCAGTTGAAGTCTAACTGTACAGATGCCAATGTGACCTTCACATTTCATGCAGTTATCATTTTTTGTAACAACAAACCAACATTTCATCGCCTCTGGGAATTAAATCAAGCCAGTGGGGGCTTTATATCCCTCCCTGATAGGTTGATCAAAGCACATGCAAGTTTTCAATCTGAAGCCACCCATTTCATGTGCCTTAATATTTAAGGGGCTGAAAAGGAACATTTTCTTTCTTTAAAGAACATAACCTAATCCAGTAATGGTGAACCTTTTTCGCCTCGGGTGTCAAAGGCACACACGTGCTCACTATCATGCGTGCTCACGTGCCCGCACCCATAATTGAATTCCCCCTTGCGCATGTGTGTGTGTGACCCCCCCCCTCCCGCTGCCCCACACATGCACGCATGGCTTTCTTGGAGCCTGGGGAGGGTGAAAACAGCCCCCCCTCCCCCGGAGGTCCTCCGGAGGCTGGAAACGCCCTCCCAGAGCCTCCGCGCAAGTCCTATACTTACCCGGCATTGCGTGTGGACTCCTGGGAAGGGAAGGGCAGCGTGGGCGGGCTCTCATGCCCGCTGATATGGCTCCACAGGTGTCACATGTGCCATTGGTTCGCCATCATGGACCTAATCTATTGGGAGGTTTGTGTTTTCTGTCTGTATTTATACTTTCTCCGCCCCTCCCTCTCTCTCTCCCTCTCTCTCTCCCTCTCTAGGGTGTAATTGACTATATTTTTTATTCCAACACTCACATGAATGTGCTTGGTGTCCTGGGGCCTCTGGATCCTCACTGGCTGGTTGAGAACAACATCACTGGGTGCCCCCACCCTCACATCCCTTCCGACCACTTCTCACTGTTGACTCAGCTCGAGCTCCACCCTCCATTCCCGCCTCCGGTCAACGGCATCCATTTGCCAAACAGGAGATAGCGCTGCTCTCCCTGGAGGGCAGGGACACCCCCCCCCCTTTGTCCCTTTGTTTATGGACTTGTACAGTTGTAAATCAAAGTCTGTAGGAGTGAAGTATGGCCAACCTTTTTAATAGCTGCTGCTTCATGCTCCTTTCCGTTTTCGTGTGTGTTGACAGTACAATTTTGCACATTTTTTTCGGTGCATATTGGTACCACTTGGCACTAGGGCTGGAACCAAAGTTGTTGTTTGTTCCCTTTTTCAATGGGGTTTTTTTTTTTCCCCTTTTTGGTTTCGTTCTGAAGGTACAGACCCAAAGTATAGAGAGAGAAAAGGCGGTGGGCTTTACGTGTTTTTAACAGAAAGCTGCCTTAATCAACGGTCAAATCAAAAAGGAGGGATTTGCTTATATGTATACATCCATAGCTAAAGTTTTTGTAATCCCCCCCCCAATTTTTTAAATCAGTCATAGCCAGATGAGTCCTTCCCCCTGCTCCCAAATCACTCATTTAAAAAATAAAAAAAAACTCCCCTGCACTAGATTAGACAACATATATTGGCCCCGTAGGGCAGCTGTTTCTCAACCTTGGGAATTTAAGATTCTCCCAAAATGACTTCAGGGCTGACTATATGGACTTCAACTCCCAGACCACCTTAAAATCCCCAAGGTTGAGAAACATGGCTGTAAGGGAATTTGTGTATCATTGGAAATAGCACTTAACTGTTTTTAATGTTGATTCCGAGTTCAAATTTGTTCACTTCCCATTTGAGCTAACAAAGTAGCGAGATGTTAGTCTTCCTGCCATTTAAAAATTTTTTTTAAAAAAATTGCTCTATGCAGGAGTGAGCTTTTCCAGAAATACCTGATGGTACCTGGCACTAAGTTGCCAGGGTGTTCTGCCCTGCTGCACCACCCCCATTTCTGAACTCTTAAAAACTTGCATGCTCTGATGTGAAATTCACCGAATCACCTCCCTTTGCACTAAGGGGCAAGGATGAGTCTGAACCTCTGGCTTGAAGCCATGTTCTCTACCAGGAAAGTAAGAACAGCACCTGTCTTTCACTCGAAGGGAATGACAAACTGGATCACTTCAGAGAAACACAGGTAGCGAGACGTGGGAACCACAATAAATTCAGGACAGCCAATTAAATCCTGCATTTAAAATCGGCGATGAGAATTCTCCTGCGAAAATGTCCACCGCATACAAAGAGATTCCAACCCAAACTCGACCCTTCTTTTAATTTTTTTTTTGTAAATCATAAACCCCTTCCGCTCCCCTTTTAAGGTATTTTGTAAAGAAAGGTTAGTAGAAGTGAAGTGGGAGATAAATGTTTAGTTCCACCGGATTATTATTTTTTCTCGGTGCAATTTTTTGTTTCGATACAAAAAGCGAGAATAATGTTAACCTAACCATTCCCTCGGCATTTTTCCCTTCCTTTTTTTTTCTGAACCCTTGTCGCCAAATAGCCATGTCATGCTTTTAATTCTTTTTGTTGTTGTTTCTTTTCTTTTTCTTCTATCAAGTTAGGTTGGTTTGTTGTTGTTGTTTTTTTTTAAAAAGGGGAACCTGCTTGTTTGTTCCCAGCTGTTAATTTTCTTATTTTAAGAAATTTTTTAAGCATCCTCTTGCGTGCATGTGTGCTTCTGGTGGCCATTTTAAAAACCTTTTTTTTTTTCTTTTCTTTTTTTCCAGAGGGTGGAAAAAAAAATATTATTTTAATGCCATCTCTTTAAGAGAGAGAGATGAGGTTTTTATCCACTCAGGGCAACTGCTATTGTGATGGGTTTGAGCGGAATATTAGGGCGTGGCTCTTTCAGGACAGGAGAAGAGATACTAATCAAGCAAGATGGTGGAATGTCTGCCCCTTGGAAAAGGGTGCATCTTCCATCTTGCCTGTTTTGATCCGTTGTACCTGTCACTGCCGCCTCGCCATATCAGCGAAAGAAAAACATTTAGCAGTAAGCCCCTAAATGCAGGGGTGGGGAAATGATGCCCCTTTTACGACTTGTGGACTTCAGCTCCCAGAATTCCTGAGCCAGCATGGCTCAGGAATTCTGGGAGTTGAAGTCCACAACTCGTAAAAGGAGCGTGTTTTCCTCCCTGCCCCCTACCTTAGTGGGTAGAGTTACACTTCATTTTTTTCAACAGCAGCAAACAAAAAGCAAATCTGTTTTTATGTTTTGGGGTATTTTCTGCTTGCTGCTATACGAGATTCCTTGAGCTTATATTTTAAACTTTTCATGCACTTTACTATTTCTAATCTGGAAAAAAAACGTGATATTTTTAATAAATGAGGTTTCCATTATGTGAATGAAAATTTTTAAAGGAGCTATATGTTTGTCTCATGAATACGCTAAAAAAAAACAAAAAAGGAAAATAAAAAGAGTCAAGTAGTTAATTTTAAATCCTAAGGAACCGTTCGCTACGGTAGCCTTTAAGGTATCTCCTTCCCCTCTCTCCTTTCTGTTTGACTAACTGTGTCTGAAATAACAAAAGGGAAAAGAGACTCGGGCTCCGAATTGTTCCCTCTTGCTTGTTAAGAGGGATGGCGGTGGAGCGGGATGAATGACTGAAGAATGCAATCCACTTTCAAAAGGAATTCGTCTCCATCCATTGCAACTTCTTGCTGCATTAAACATAGTAGAAGAAAAATATTAAGCAGAGCAATAGTCCTTCAATAGGCCCAATCATCCTGTGGCTTAAGCACTAACTTTCTTGGTTTGGCTGTTCTTGCAAGTCGGTGCAGCTAACAAAACCTCAAGCCGCATGCTCTGTGGTTTGTTTAACGGCGGTATGTGAACCAGGAATTCTGTTATTTCTGAGTTTCTTTTTGTGGCTGGTTCCAAAGGAAAGAAGCTAGAGTTTCGGATTCACACAGTGCATTAAACACATCCCCAGAGGTGCAGGTCGATTCATTTCCGGCTCGGCCTTGTTGAAGCTGAACAACTCTCGTGTAAGAAAACTCAAAAATGACAGCCGCACTTCAGAGCAGGACTTTGGTAGATCCATCTGGCCTTTCAGTGTGTTCTTTTTACAGATCATTCCCCCCCCCCCCCACAGTTGGCTCCCTTTGGTGGAGGGAAGGAGGCATCTCACTCACTGCACACCAGCTAACAGTCTGCAAGAGCAGCTCTGTTTTAACCTGCCCCCCCCCAAAGGCTAAAATTTAATTATGAAGCATGAGAAGGTTTCTCTCCTTTCAAAGATCACATTCCCACAACTTCAGCATTGGTGCAGGTATTTTCTCTTACATACCTCAAAAAAAAAAGGGTTCTATATAAAAATGGCCATGTATATAGATACATTATATAGATAGATAGATATAAATGGACAAGCCAATTACGATACAGTACTGGGAAGTCAACTAGCATGACAAAACTTAATTTTGTGGACATTAACCCCTTTCGGTTTTGTTTTTTTGTAAGGACGCAACCTTTTTGAGAATCGGTCTTTCACATTTGTGAATGCAAATGTATTCCCCATTTGTGAATGCAAATGTATTCCCCAACTCCTGTTTGCTTCCGTAGGGCTGGCAGAAGAAAATTCCCAGTCCAGGTTTTGCTCCTGTATCATTTTGGAGGCATATATTTTATTTTATTTTAACTTTTCTTTTGTGCTTTGGAGGTATGCACTAACACATTTCCCTCCTCCTCATACGTGCATGTTAACTAGCAGAGTGAGCAATAGTTCCCACCATACTTCACTCCCAAACTATTTTTGGAGATGTTTGTATAAAATGGAGTTTAAAACAAAAAAATTCGCCTGTGATTGTATATGAACTGCAAAGGAGCCGGTTTATTAAATAATACCAAAAAAAAAATCACACCATGTTTTGTAATGTTGTTGGGAGGATAGGAAGCAGGAGAAAGAATTAAAAAAAACAACTGGGAACATTTGTATACCTCTTAAATTCCTTTTGGGGTTTGGTTTGAGTTTAGGTAATCGATGTGGTCTGGAACAGCCCTGATTTCTCGGTGCCTTTTTAGAAATTGCACAAGGCTTTGGCTTTAGGTATTCATAAAGCAATCGTTGCATTTGTCTCAGTCCAGGAAAACACAAAGAAAATAGTCCTGTTCCCAAGGAGAACCAAATGAAGCTTTTAAGACAAGTGATGTTGAAGCGCATCATAAGACAGGGTGCCCCAAAATTTGCCTGGCAAAACAGCCTCCGTTGCTTCTTTTGCTGCTCGCGTGTGAATAAAATGGAACTGAAGCTGCCGAAGTTGCATCTGAGCCCATAACTTTTCTTTCTAAAATAAGGATTTGTAAGAATATCGGATTACCTTTCTTTCTGCTGGGCAACCATAAATGGTGCTATCTGAATGTTGAAATATTGGTTTTGCAGTGCTTTTAGAGCCACAGTTGCGAGGGTGATTGGATAGAAGCTAATTTAAACACAAGAGTGTTACTGAATTTTATCTATTTGTAACTGCTGTGACCTGCCAGCGTCCAGCAGAGCTGGCAGCCGATTCGGAGAGTGGGGAGGTTGGGGAAGAACATGGGCCAGTCCTGGAGTCTGGGGAAGGATCTGATGAGGGCTCTGCGTCTGAGGCAGAGATGGGGCCCTTTGACAGTTATCAGCTGTCTTCGGAGGCAGACGAACAGCTGGAGCCTGTTCCCAGTGTGCGCATGTGCAGAAATGCCAGACAAAGGGAACAGCTAAGGAACAAGGATCGACTTGGGAGTAAGGCCACAGGTGGATGATGGATGGTCCCTCTCAGAGGGAATAAAAGAGGAGCGAAAGGGGAGTGGAGTTTGCAGGAGACAATTAGTTTATTCCTGCGTTCTTGCCAAGTATTGTGGCGTCTGAAAGATCACCGCCTGGTCACACTCTCCAAGCCTGATAAAGGTCGGTAATTGTGAACTATCTCGAAAGACTGCGGGGAGAGGAAAAACTTTGCTGGAGAGGAATTCACTGTAAATTAAATAAAAAGGACGAGGACTGCTGGGGAAACTTAGGTCAGAACAGTTAACTCTATTCAGTCAGCTTTGGTTTAGCACAATCAGATCAAAGAATGGTTCTACATATGAACATTTCGGATGGTTACGGAAATGACATGATAGCTGATGTGCACTTCTCACAGGTGCCACCGCCACACTGAGGCTCCCCAGATGTTGCACTAGACATTCCTTTCACGAGCCTCAAGCCACCCCTGGACCTCAGATTCTTTGCAAGCAAAACAAAATCCGTATCTACTAAGTGCTGACGTAATATATCTTTAGTAGAAAACTAGATGGGTCAAAATCAACATGGGGAAAAGCCGGCTCCAACTCAAATGGAATTCATCGCATCGCAGCATCTCCTCATGCCCTCTTTTGCATTATTTCCTTCAGAAGTGTTGGATGTACTCGCTTATGGGATTATGGGTTTTGAAGGGCTGTTCAAAACAGGCACCTGGGCATTTGCATCGAAAATGAATCCATGAAAACTTTGCCGTTGGTAACAATGGTCAGAAAGCTTGTTTATTTTTTTTCCCTGCCTGTGCTTAGTTCTTAATAAAGAACAGAATTCATCTCAGTAATCGATATATCGTCTGGAAATAAGCCATTTTATTCTTTTCCCCTATGTTTATTTGAATAAATTCTTTGCAGCTCATTGTTACTCCATAACCATCTAGCCGCCTCTTTTCAGAAAGTGACTTTAATGGATGGGATCCAAATTTAGTTAGGAGTGGACCCATTAAAATCTATGCATCTCGAGATTCTCATTGGTTTCATTGGGTGTGTCCTTTAAGTATAGCCAAATCTGGATGCCAACGGGATAATTGCTATTTGAATAAATTCTTTGCAGCTCATTGTTACCCCATAACCATCTAGCCGCCTCTTTTCAGAAAGTGACTTTAATGGATGGGATCCAAATTTAGTTAGGGGTGGACCCATTAAAATCTATGCATCTCGAGATTCTCATTGGTTTCATTGGGTGTGTCCTTTAAGTATAGCCAAATCTGGATGCCAACATTTGCTTCGACGGTGCAATCAACGGGATAATTGCTATTATTGTGGGAGGGGGTCACTACTTTCCATTTGGAGGGGTTTATGTTGGAGAATGTAAGCTCTCTCAGTTGGCAAGGGTTTATATGTTTCCTTAAAAAAAAAAAAACTTTCCCGTCATTATAGTCAAAGGAAAAGAATATATTTGGACTAACCAAATGGCTAGTTTAAACGCCCACCCAATTCACAAGTATAAAAAAACCTGGAGGGCTGCTGTGCCTATTCAGTCTGTGCCCCCTGCCCCGAGATACTGAAAATTGTCACCTAAAGAAGGTAAAGGTTCCCCTTGCACATATGTACTAGTCGTTCCTGACTCTAGGGGGCGGTGCTCATCTCCGTTTCAAAGCTGAAGAGCCAGTGTTGTCCGAAGACGTCTCCGTGGTCATGTGGTCAGCCATGACTCAACGCCGAAGGCGCACGGAACGCTGTTCCCTTCCCACCAAAGGTGGTTCCTATTTTTCTACTTGCATTTTTACCTGCTTTCGAGCTGCTAG